GTAATCAAGTGTAGCAATGACGTCACAAGTGCAGTTATTCAAAGCATACCGATTGACGTTTTAGTAGACAGTGGTTCTTGTATCTCACTTATATCGAGTTCGGTTCTGAAACATTTTAAAACTACCCCCAAACCGACATATCGCGTATTAAAAGGCATAGGTAGTCAACTTGTCGAAAGTACTTCATTCGTGACGTTAGTCATCGAACTTCCTCGCATTTCGATCGAAGCCGACCTATACATAGTTCCCCACCATTGTATTAGTACCCCGGTCATTATCGGTACGGATATTTTAAATCGTGAAGGTATAACATACATCCGACAAAACGGCGTTCAGATTCTGACTCACACAGAAGTAACTGCTACTGTGAATAATACTCAGTTCGATGTTAAGAGTGTAAACACACCGCTTGTAGGCGCTGATAGGGAGCAACTTTTATCGATTATAAGTGATTACTCGAGTTCGTTCATATCAGGCACAGCTACATCGACAGTTACAACGGGTGCTATGAAAATAACTTTAACTACCGAAGAGCCAGTTCATTATAGACCTTATCGGCTATCGCACGACGAGAAGTTACGCGTTCGCCTTATAGTGAATGATCTAATTAGTAAAGGTATCATACGCGAATCCGAATCGCCGTACGCGAGCCCAGTGATTTTAGTTAAGAAAAAGGACGGCTCAGATAGGATGTGCGTCGATTATAGGGCCTTGAATGCACGCACCGTCAAGGATAAATTTCCATTGCCGGTCATTGATGATCATATAGATCGCTTAGGGGCCAGTAGATTTTTTACCAGCTTAGATATGGCAACGGGCTTCCACCAAGTGCCAATGGAGGAAAGCTCCATTGCCAAGACAGGGTTCGTGACCCCCGAAGGTCATTACGAGTACGTTAAGATGCCCTACGGTCTTTGTAATGCACCTGTAGTTTACCAAAAAATAATTTCAAAGACACTAAAACCTTTCATTGATTCTGGGAAGGTGCTAGTTTACATAGATGACGTTCTCATATTATCGAATTCGGTAGACGAGGGTTTAATCTTGTTGCGACAAGTATTGGAGACGCTAATCACGTCAGGGTTTTCCATAAACCTTAAAAAGTGTGCATTTTTGAGTAGTGAGATTGAATATCTGGGGAGGACCATTAGTGATGGTCAGGTTAGGCCGAGTGCTCGTAAGGTTCAAGCCTTAGTTGATTCCCCAAAACCGTGTAACGTAAAACAGGTCAGGCAGTTCCTGGGGCTTGCTGGCTACTTTAGGCGTTACATTTTAAATTATGCTCAGAGCACCGCCTGCATTGCACACTTAACTAAAAAGAACGTTCCATTTATGTGGGGGGTAGAACAGGATAAAGCGCGCGATTATGTAATACATTGTCTCACAAATGCGCCAGTCCTTGCTATCTTTGATCCTCAACTACCTTCAGAGCTCCATACGGATGCGAGTGCCATCGGTTATGGCGCTATCCTTTTACAAGTTCACAAAGACGGCCTTAAGCGCGTCATAGCATATTTTAGCAAGTCCACCCAGGGAGCAGAGCCGAAATATCATTCCTACGAGCTAGAAACCTTAGCCGTAGTGAAAGCCCTTCAACACTTTCGGAAATATCTTCTAGGCGTCTCTTTCAAAATCGTTACAGACTGCAACGCTTTAAAACTAACAGAGCGCAAAAAGGACTTACTTCCCCGCGTGGCTAGATGGTGGCTTTACATGCAGGACTTCCAATACAACTTCGAGTATAGGAAAGGTTCTTTAATGTCCCACGCAGACTACCTCAGTAGGAATCCGATTGAGGTATGTCACATACAAAGTCCTAAAAATTGGGCTAAGTTAGCTCAGTCCGCAGATGAGGAGACTCTTAACCTCATCGACAGTTTAAATAGCGGTCAACTAGACTCCTCGCGGTATGTTGTCAAGAACGGCTTATTATACGTGAAATACTCATCTACGGGTCAAGATACACGTCATTTGTGCTTTATACCTAAGGGATATAGGTTGAGTTTGCTTCATGTCTTTCATGATGATCAGGACCACATTGGGTATGATAAAACAGTAGAACTTATTCTACGTCACTTTTGGTTCCCCGGCTTGCGCGCCTTTGTAAGGAAATACCTAAAACATTGTATTGTGTGTCTCTCACATAAACGTGTACCACGTGCTCCCCACCAACCCATAGAATCGTGGTCAAAACCAGATGCGCCGTTTTCTGTTGTTCACATGGATGTTCTTGGTCCATTACCTGAAGCTGAAGGGTACAAGTATGTGCTAATCATAATAGACGCTTTTACAAAGTATTGCCTCCTCTATGCCCTTTACCGCCAAGATACTAGCGAGTTGAAACGTGCATATGTTGACGCTATCTCATTATTTGGTTCACCTAGGCTATTAGTTACAGACCGAGCGCGTATGTTTGAAAGTTCCTCTTTCCAAGACATGGTTAGATCTTTTGGTAGCGAAATTCACTTTATTACCCCTGGCATGCACCATGAGAACGGTCAAGCCGAACGCTATTGCAGAACCCTATTAAACCTACTACGCATAGAGGTTAACCATAGGCAACAAAGCTGGTCTGAAGTCTTATGGAAGACGCAACTTATTTTGAATAGCACTAAACATAGCACGACAAATTTGTCTCCGCTGCAATTGCTCATTGGCAGCGAATCCTCCACACCTATCATACGAGCCCTGGTCCGAGATGTCGCGCTTGATATCGCAACACCTAACCGCGAGGCGACTATGGCACTACGTAGACAACACGTTTCATCGTTGTTGTCGGCTAATCAGCAACGACAGGATGATTATGTTAATAAAAACCGGAAATCGCCCCGCGAATTCGAAGTAAACGACATGGTGTTTGTAATTAAAGCTTCACAAGCAGCAGGTAAACTCGACTCCTGTATGCGAGGCCCTTATAAGGTGCTGAGGCGCCTTCCACACCACCGTTACGAACTGGAGCTGGTGGTTGCCTCGTATGGAAAGCGTACAGAGGCTGCCGCCGAAAACATGGTGTTGTGGGCGGGAGAATGGACTCCCGAAACTTGCGCAGCGTTTTTTGATTGTAAGTTGCACACAGTTTTATTCACGAGTAATGTTACATCGTTACTGCGTTAATGGCATATATGAGAATATGTTTTGGTACTCCATACTGACATCGAGTGTGATTCTCTGTCATACAAGATCACGCTGGTATCGAGTGTTCCTCTACCATGCGGTCACGTTGGTATTGAGTGTGATTCTCTACCACGGCAGGGCAGTTAGCTCGAAAGGGCGCTGTCAGGGCATACTAGTCACTGCCAATATTTTCACTGGCCGAGCCAGGTTGTTTCGTATGCAAGGGGGCCCTCGAGATCGAATTGTGTGAATGTTGACATATTAAGTTGTATGCTAAGCGAATATTAGTCGATACCTTATGAAAGTGGACCGGAATGCACATTTGTTTTTGAAAGATGCTATCGTGATTGCTTTAGGAACATTTACGTGTAATGAGTACGTGTAAACGTGTAATGATGTGTCTTATTTATGTGCCAATTTCAGCTCAAGCCGATGAACTCGCCACCGACACCACGTCTGATGAGGCTGGTCCAAGTCACGAGCCTCGTAGGGTTGCGGACGAGGACGACCGCCCGTCAGGAGAGGCCGTGTAACATGATGTCCCCGTTCATCCCTCTGCTCACGCAACATCGCGCCACCCGCAGTATATATAAGCAAGTGGGGGCATCGTGACGCACTTTTGCTCGGACGGCCGGCGTGTGCGGACGTACTAGGAAGCCTAATATTTCTTTCATTGTTCAGCTTAAGTTAATTCCAATTGTATTATAATTTGTAGTCATTCTGATTGTTTTTTTTTATTTAAAATAATTGCTACGTCTATAATAATATATATAAAAAGAAAAAACCTACGAAAATATTTTAAACAATCTTCACAATACGGTCCTCCTTATCATAACTAAATTAATTTACATTTTTAGCGAAATTGAGTTATGTTAATATAAGCGTTTTTTTATATCTCATTTAGTTCCAGTTTTATTGTTAAGCAAAATCTACGTAGGTTATTGACATTTTTCAAAGAAAACAAAACTACCTAAAGTAGCACCGGCCACTAGCTCGACAGTTACCAACATACAAATGCGTTAGTTATAAACTAAAAAAAATATGTCCAGTATTATCAAATCAAATCCACCATTAACGTTTTTTTTTTTGTGTGAAGAGCAATACCAATGTAGTTCCTGATGAGAAAATTCTTCATATCTTGCAGATATTCCAGCACCTCCTCGCTTTAAAATGAGAATTGATAAACGGACTTAAGGTTGTAAAGGTTTAGGGTGTTCCAAAATGATACTAAGTAGTTTCATTTACGATTTTTAATTCGTTTTTGAATAACTTACCTATTTCTGCCGCCAAGCAGTAATGTCAGCATTACTGTGTTCCGGTTTTGAAGGGTAAGGGTGCTGGTGAAATTACACGCACATGGGATCTGTCAACTTATGTCTCAGGACGACGAGCGCAGTGGCATGGCAGTGCCCTTCAAATCTTTGTGATTTAAAGCTCTAATAGGTACTGCAATTGTTATGGACAAGCGTGTAGCTTACCAGCAGGCGCACGACTCGATCGTTCCTTCACTTGATATTATAAAAACAAATAGGTTACTCGCATCACAAAGAGAGGTTTAATTATCAGATTTTGAGACGCCAAATGGACAAATTACGAGAAATGAGCGGAGGGTTCCAGTGTATTATAGTATTTCTAGGATCGTCACCCCGCTAGGCAGTAATTATGGTAAATCTTCCACATGAGAAATTTTGCAGTATGCTACAGTTAACTATTGCTTTCTTTTAATTCCGATGCCGTATTATTATACAATTACGAAATAAAAACAAATTTCAATTTTGTCCTTTTTATTCCTTTCATCAAATAATTAAACGTCATATTTCTTTCAATAACGATTACTCCAACAGTGTTTAGCTATATGATTTATACACTTACAAGCCCTTTTAAAACCACGAACTATAATAGCCAAGTGTACATAGATTATCTCTTAATATTCTAATCCCTCTCGAAAGGATAATTAGGATAATCTTTCCAAGCAATCGGGTTAATAACTCTTACATTTTTATTATAGTTGCCAATAACCTTAATTTCTTCATCTGTAAGTTTAAAGTCAAATATATCTATGTTCTGTCCGATGCGTTCCTTGTTGGTCGATTTTGGAATTATTATGAGGCCTCGATCGATCTGAAAATAAAACGAAAATAAGTCTTGGACCGAATACGCTTCCTTGTGGTACACCTAACAAATAACAGTCAGAGCACAGACCACATAAATACTAGTCAGAGTTAGACTTGAAATTGTTATAAATTTTCATTTTGTGCATACGATACTCACTACTTTGTGCTCGTAGATTATACTATTTTAAGGTAATAGTCTGCTTTTCATCTGTGTCCAATAGCAAATCTACTTACCAAATATCGCAAAACAATTTGTCCAGTAGTCTTCCCATACTTTTCAGCCATTTTTCTTAGTATTGGGTCATCATATCTTGGAGATGGTGCCATGTGATGTTTCCTCGTTACGAGGAATCCGAAAGGACTGTACGCCATTACTGCGACGCCTAGCTTCTTGCAATGAGAGACTAGTAGTTCTTGGGTCAATGTTGGATTTACCTAATACAAAAATGAAATATGAAGTAAACATTTACAAGTATTTAAAACTACATTTGTCATAATAGAGAGTTTTAACACCCAATAAAACTTACCCATTATTTTTTTCATCAATATCCGGAATCCATCTTGAGTCAAGCGCCTGTTTAAGTCAGCCCTTTAAGTCAGCATTTCCGTTTCCTCTCCGATAATGGCGCCCTCTTTTCGTCTCTTGGAACTAACTTACTTACGCGCGCACCAGGTAACGGCTCGTCATTGTAGCGCATGATGCGCCAGGCAGCCCTTATCTGAATTCTTTAGAATTGCTTTAGACAGCCGCCTTGAAATTGCCTCAAGTCATTCGCGACGTTTTCCTTTAATGAGAAGCGGCCCTCCGATTTCTTAACCTTCTGTCTATCGCGGTTATTAGTAGACCTGGTTTTCGATTGGTTGGTAGGGCGAGGTGCATGCTTGCCTCTTTTTGAGGAGGGGTTCCGACGAAAAAATGTATCATCAGGCTGCTTGCTAGTTGACGGCTTAGGGTTTTGATAGAAGTTTTCTTTGGATTGAGTTTTCATCGTTGGTTTTGGTAGCGAAGACAATTTTTCCGCCCCCCAATTTTTTGAAGATAGTTTTGAACTAATTCTTCATTAAAAAGTGAAGCAGAACTAGGTGGAATTTTATAGAAAACATCACGATGATATTCCTCAGAAATACGGCGTAATAAGCTCTCCCTGCGAGTGTTAATAAGATCCACTCGTCTCCCACAAACTATTTGTCAGTTTACTATATGTAGATTCTTTAGAAAACATGTTTTGCACTTTGTCGAACAGAGAACTAGGTGTCAATAACTCTTTGGAATCATACGCCCAATCGACAAGCGTTTGCAACGATCTTTGTAATTCGTCTTTTTGTGTTAGCAAGGCATTGGTCAGTGCAGCAAATGAACGTTCCAGCAAATATGAACGAGAATCATCTTTTAACATTGCACTTTCGAATCATTTCAAGTCATCATTTACATTTAGTTCGGTAAAACCAGGGGTAGTTAAATATTTCTTTTGTGCATCGATAAAACGAAGAGCATACAAATCATCGCATTTAAAACGTTGTAAATCGGATAATGTCTTCAAAAAATTTTCGTTTGATTTTCCATAACCGGATCTTTAACTGTAGTACCAACTTCCGATAAAATGTTAAGCTTATTACTCTTATCACACTCGCCGGGACGCCTTAAACTTAAGTCATTTGAAGCAACGGGTTCACTTTCAATGTGAATTCAATTATATATTTAATTATATTATAATAATTGAAATTTGAATTCCTGTTTTCCAAATTTGCGGTTAGGAGATTTGTCAAAAGCGAGACTTCCAGCAAGAGATTCAAAATGTCCATAACTTACAGTCGGAGAATCTTTCCTTGCCTTACTTCTCTCGGGCCTTGAAGCCCCGCTCGACGACGATTCGCCATTTCCGCTACCCGAACATGACAATGAAGAACATTTTCGCGTACGGGAATTCGAATTTCCATTTTATTTCAGACGCAGTTTTTTCACTTTCCCTGTCTTTGTTCACCATTATAACGGGAGAGGAAACTTTATATCTAAAATGACACGCTTTTTAACACTTTTTTCGCGTAGATTTATTGTAATAGCGCTGACATGCGCATGGCGCGAAAAAACGACGCTATAATGACTAGCCGTCACCTGGTGCGCGCGTAAGTAAGTTAGTTCCAAGAGTTGAAAACAGGGCACCACTATCGAAGAGGAAACGGAAATGCTGACTTATAGGTTAAAAAAGACAGGCGCTTGACTCAAGATGGATTCCGGATATTGATACCAAACAAATAATATTGGTATTCGTGGCAGCGATGTTGTAATACTCGCTGAATTGCAACCAATTTTGTTAAATTTAAGTCTGCTAGGTATTTTAAACAAATTCTAGAAACACTGAAAATATTGTTCGTAACTTAAAAGCGCCGCCGTAATCGTGAAAAGTAATCAGAAGACGATGATCGGTCAAGCATCTGAAAAAGAAGTGTTATATCTCACCTCAATTTGGTTGACAGCAGGCTTCACCTTACTATTAGCCATTAATCGATCCAATTGCGTAACGTTAAAGTTGGATATTCCAATAGACTTGGTCAGGCCCTGTTCTTTTGCGTCTTCCATGCCTTGCCAAGTTTCCAAATAATCCACATTATCGGGAGAACCATCGGGCTAAAAAATATTTGGTTCAATATAGCATTGTGCCATAACTTTTGATTTTTTAATTTTTTTAAAATTAAACTGTAAAGTTACTTGTTTTTCCAAAAGTTTTAATTTTTATCTTCAGTTGCGATTTGAATATGTCGTTCGTTATTTTTTTTTATAACCACTGTTAATTACTGCATTGTATAATTTTCTTACCTTCGAAGCAACAGGGAAGTGAATCAAGTAAAGATCGACATAGTCCAACCCAAGCCTCTTCAATGATTCTTTAAGCTCCGGTACTACTTGCTCACGATGGTGCTTGTCGTTCCAAATCTGGAGAATATTTTTATATGACATTAATGTTTAATAAATTAAATATAATATTACCACAACAAAACATGAAATTGCCTAAATAAATTGAAAACAGGAATATTGTAGGTAGTTTTCTAGTCAACCTAAAAGTGTGCATCAGTCAGTGTTTCCCAAGTAGTAGTACTGGGCCATAGTTTGCAATGGCGTTTTGCTGGATGTGTTTGAATATTTTTAAACCATATTATCAATATTTTGGTACATAATTTGAACAGACTTAGGAGTAACAGCAATTGAAATGGGTCTGAAGAAAGCTATTATGTACAGTACCTTAGTAGTGACAAATACATCTTCTCTCTTAACAACGCCTTTAGCTATCGCATCGGCTAGACCCTGCCCGACTTGAGGTTCATCCCCATATATCGCAGCTGTATCAATGTGTCTGTACCCAGCTTCGATTGCCCAGAGCACTGCATCTCTCACTTCTTCTATATTTGCCTGAAATTAAAATTTAATATTCATTAACAGATTTGTTTACAAATATATTATAATTAGGACTTAAACAAATTTGAGTATTTTCGTCACATCGTTAATTATAAATATCCTGTAAGGTTCATCTTGGAGAATATTCACATAATCCTTATATCAAACTCGAGGTATCTCCGTCAAACTATCATCATCGCCCATTATACTTTCTAGTCCTGCAAGGATTTCTTCTAAGGACAGGGCTCTAGCTCTATGTCTGCCACCCTGGTTCAATATAGGTTGGGGATTTCACATGGTTCCCAATGGGTTGTGAACCTTTTTCGGTATAAAGGCTTTATTACGAAGTTTTTCATTACTGCTAGCGAGAGGTATTACGAACGTTAAAAATTTAAGTCAAATACATGCCACCACATTGATTTGAACTAGACTTCTCGATTGAGAAGTAACCCTCTTCCAAATGGGCTACCATCGCGCTCTATGCCAAATTGAACTGCACTGAAAATACTAAATTCTTCAAGAAATATTCCGACGAGTAACGACTTAAAATCAGGGGCAAAAGACTATGGCGATGAGTTATGCTTTATCTGATGACGGAGAAACCAAGATTCCAACTTTAAAAATCTCAGTGTCCCCAACTGTTTGCACTGTGGGCGTTGAATGAGTAGGTCCAGAGTTCCATTCTCAGTAGAACCGGTTTGCGAAATAAACTTTTCTAAATTAGTTCTGGTCTTGCCGTTCTGAGTAGAGCCCCCAAGTGAATTTCGTTGCACTGGTACTCATATATCATAGTACAGGGAATTCCCCAGTTGAGACCAGGTAATTGATGTGGTTGTCGAGCAGTTATCATTATTATTATTAGAGCTGTGCAAGTAAATATACTTACTCCTTTGGAAGTTCCTCTGCCGGTTCCCAAAGCGACGACAGGAATCTTACTGCCATCATTCAACTGAATCGTCGGCGACTCGGCGGCCATGCTTAACTGAAAATTAAAAAGTAGGTACACATAAAAATGTTTGTTAAAGTATTATGTCCATTAACAAAAGACGATCAGTCCCATTTCTTTCGACATATAAGTTTTGTTTATAATACCGCTCCCTATTCGACCTCTTGGTTACGCAGAAAGGGCACTATGACCCGTGCGAGCGAACCCGCACAGGGACCATCTAAGTCAGGTTCTAACCCCGTATGAACACGTTTGCACGGACTTCATCCGGTTCACGTGCATGTCAGGCGTCGCCATTTTCACTACGCGTATACAATACGGAAGCGTGCGCGTGCGTACGATCGGAGCGAACGCCTGATCGAACCGAACTGAACGGGGCGCGCCGCCGCCGATTGCATTTGTCGTCGGCGCTCATAGCTAAGCACCTTTTAACCGACTTAAAAAAAGGAGGAGGTTCTCAATTCGTCGGTATGTTTTTTTTTTATTTTTGTATGTATGTTACGCGATAACTCCGCCATTTGTGAATCGATATTGATGATTCTCTATTTGTTGGAAAGAGGGTACCTCAGTAGTGGTCCCATTTATATTTGAAGAAAATATTCCACCTCCAAGGGTGGTAAACTAAGGGATGTATGACTTTTAAGGTCGGTTTTTTTGGTTAGGTTATGACTTGCGTGTAGCAAGTCAAAAATTGTGAACAAAGACGCATCTTGTTTTTGGTACGTGCTGATGACTATAATAACTCCCATGTAAATACTGTAAAAGTAAAAAATAAGAAACAAGTGTAACAACAGAGTGTTGCAGTATGATGTAGCGACTATACTATACCGCCTTGCTTATAGTAATTAACGTAATCTAATTTTAGTAAAGTAATTTTTATGAAATTGAGATATTAATATATTTGGAACAGCGAAGCGACATCTACAACCCCTTCTTGTCGGTTTTTTATATCTTGTTTACTTTAGATACTGACTTTATTTCAGAATTTATTTTTTACAAATTATAGCCATTTGATAAATGTATATCATATACTACTATAAGTGTACCATTTAGTTAACATAAAAAAACCATTGGTATGTAAAGTATGGTATGTTTGAAAAAAGCAAATATACGGATTTAAATCCGGAAAAACAGTTTCACTTCCCATATACATATTTATTTTACAAAATATTCTTATTCGAAAGTTGATACGTACAAAGAAACGTAATATTATAAGATACTCTTTATTTTTTAAATTTTGAATAGGCATTTTATACTCACAAAGTTAAAAGAACTTCCTTTCAACACAAACGAACGGTAACAACTGCATTGTAAGTACGAAAAGACACGTTATCCGTATCTAATATTTCATAACAAAAATGTTTGTTTTCAGATAGACTATCTACATAGCTATATATAAATCAATGGGTACAGAGAAAAAACTGTTACGTATTGTTTTGTAAACTTACAGCAGTTATCTTAATTACTTATTGACTATTGTATAAACCATTCAAATAATTAATCAAACATTTTTATATACATTTTATTTGTATTGTACATATAATGTCAGAGCATAGCCGTAAAGGGAGACGTTGACGGAAAATCGTCACTGATTGTGTCAGGAATTACTTGATAATTGGCGTATTCACTTTCCGTTATAATAACGTCAGTCGATTACAATTAATTGGTTTATCCACTTTTAACAATAATTACTTCGAAAAGGTGCAAAAGAAGAATCAGGTTAAAACAGATTTTAAATGTCACGCGGCAAATTCACAGAGACTGACCATCATCATTTTCTTCCCAAGTCTCACACACAAAAGCCCATCTTATTATAGCGCGTTCGTTTTGAAAATTACCATTAATTTTCATATGGCAACTCTGCCAGTGGCCGTCATGTCATAGGACCACGTCAGACAACTAATTAAACTGAACAGAGTCAAACTACACCAGCGCTATCGTCTTTGCGACCTTACCCAGTTTGAACTGTCAAACTGATGTGATTTGTAAACAAAGAAACCGTGACCGAACTAGTTAATGCAATTCGTAGATAGCAAGTAATTCGTTTCGCTAATAATTAGAAAGCAACACATGATAATGTTAGCTAAGATTTATCCTTTCGTGAAACACAGTATGCAAACAATAAATCGAATTCTACTATACAACGCTAAAGTGATAACTATCTCCATCATATATTTTAGTAGCAGTAGAACTCCGTATAAAAGAGTTTATCTCATCATAAAAACTATTACATTTTTACTTATGAAAGCAGCATCCAAATGTAAAATAATATGCTTTAGTATAATTTCAGGTAATGTTATAGATACAACTATGCCCGGAGTTTATTTGAAGGACAAGGTACGGAACGAGGTTATCCGACATAGAACTAAGGTCGTCGACATAGGTGGTAGAACAAGCAAGCTAAGTGGCGGTGGGCTGGCAAAGAACCGATAACCGATAGGGGTACCAATTCTTGAGTGGAGACCACGGCTAGGAAAACGTAGTATAGGACGCCTATTTAAGATGTAGTAAACAAAATTATTTTAAATGTGAGCTACAGCACTTTTGCGTTGATAGCCTCAATAATCATTTATGAAATATAATATAATGATTTATGAAGGAAAGTCGATGGAATTTTGAATTGCTGTCCGTTTAGTGAGCCTGTATTTGTGACCAGCCAGTCCGCTGGTCATCTATGTAGTTTACATGCGACAATGGGAGAATATAAATGACTTTTATCATTACAATACTACGCCATGGTAAACGTTATTTTGTTTCGTGAGTACACGAAACTTTGTTACAAGGTAGTAATTAGTAGATTACAGGCGATATCACCTAATATGTCAATTCTTGAATATACCGTCAGTGCCAGATGCGACAGGCGACCAGCTATCCTGACGGTGACTATTAATTAAAGTCCGTTTTTTTTAACACGAAGTAAAATGACAGTTTGAAAAAAAACACAAACAAAATATAAGTAAGTATTAAGTAATTTTATTAAATATTTTATTCAGAAATAAGAAACAAACATTTTATTTTTGACTCCACCTATTCCACATTTTGAATCTAACAGAAGTCATAGTATTTCTTTTTTTTTCCCTAACTTTACATACACGTAGGTATTCTTAAATGAGGTTTCATTACATCCAACACAGTTCATTGCCCAAAAGGGTTGCCCGCTTCCGAGGAGCTAGTGATTGCAATCGATAAATATACTATCGACTATCGACTAAATATTGGAATAGATAGCCGAACTTGTTTCATTTGAATCATACTAGACCTGGAATTGAATTGTCAATTTTTGTAAGTTCATACATACATACATAGTATTTAGAACTGTGTTTATGTAAAATAAAAAGAGGAGACATATTTTAAAGTTTTTCATTTTAATTCCATACAGACAATCAAATCCGGCTATTCTTGTTAAAACGTACATAAATAAAAATTTATATCGATACTAAGTAGGTCAACTGTCAAAATAAAAACAAAGAAGGCAATTACGCAATTAGTAATCATAAGAACGATTGGCTCTGGGCATTTTGGAGGGAAAAATGTCGTTTTTATTTTGACTCTCAATTATTTTGTGTAAATCTAGTTTAAAGTGGAATAGGATAGTGCAATTGTGCCTTAATCGAAGATTAAAACATTTAGAATATTTACCTTCCCTAGGTTTATTTTTCATAACTCTATCCTTAGAAACACATACACGATCCCTTCGATAAACCACATATCGATCGTCGACAAATTCACCACATTCTACACCAGAATTCAGCCATGTTTCCGTGAAGACAATGATATCGTAATTACACTGAGCGATATTTTTGTACACCTCGTTTGTCTTAGTCCTGATTCCACATACATTCTGATAGTATATGTTAATCACTGTATATAAACAATTCTCGGAGCGAGAGGTGTTGAAAAAATTGAGAGGGCTAGATATTTTTAAAAGCTCAGGCCCTGACGGGATCCCACCTCTTTTTATTAAACGGTGTGCTCACTCACTAGTGTATCCTTTAACTCTCATATTTAACTACTCACTGGCGGAGGGTTCCTTTCGAAATGAGTGAAAGAGAGCTAGAGTCTGTCCATTATTCAAAAGGGGTGATCCAAGTGATGTGGCAAACTATCGTCCTATTTCTATCTTAGCTTGTTTTTCGAAGATATTTGAGTCTCTTGTTTGCCCTATTGTAGCCCGTCACGTGAATTCCAGCATCTCCCATAATCAGCATGGCTTCATTGGTGGTCGCTCGGTGCAGACCAACTTGGTACCCTTCGTTGACAATGTCAGTCGCGTGTTAGACAGTGGCGGCGAGGTGGACGCGATCTATACAGATTTTTCCAGCGCTTCTGATAAAGTCGATCACTTTCTTCTGGTAAAAAAGTTAGAGGGATATGGATTTCATGGCTCGTTGTTGAACTGGTTTACTTCGTATCTGAGTTATAGAACACAGTTTGTGGCAGTCAAGGGTTATGTGTCGAAGTCATATGGCGCTATATCGGGTGTGCCCCAGGGCTCTCACTTGGGTCCTATCCTGTTTCTACTGTTTATCAATGATATCACATCAGTTGTTCATCACAGTAAATGCTCATTATTCGCAGACGATCTCAAAATTTACAAGCATGTAAAATGTACTCTAGATACAATGCTGATCCAGCATGACCTAAACAGGATACAACACTGGTGTCTTGATAACGGTATGACTATCAATGTCCAGAAATGCAGCTTTGTGAAGTTTACTAGAAAAAAACTGCCTATCCAATCCACTTACACACTGAATGGCACATCTCTTGTACAGACACAGAAGATTCGAGACTTGGGAGTCTTGCTGGACGACGAGCTGAAATTTACACCTCATTACAACAACATCATTTGTAAATTGGCGCAGATGCTGGGGTTCATCAAGCGCAATACCACGGGCTTCATGCCTCGAACAAAAATAATTTTGTACAATGCGCTGGCGCGAAGCCACCTGGAATATTGTTCCACAGTATGGAACCTATTTTACTCTGTGCACTCGCAAAGAATTGAGACCATTCAGCGTTCCTTTACACGCCATCTCGCTTTTGTGTCTGGTAATATTTCACATCGGCAACACTACGACCAACGTCTTCGCTATTTCGGCATGACCTCTCTTCGTGGTCGTAGGCTGCTAATGGATTTGACGTTCCTGTATAAAATACTTCGTGGAATCACTATTTGTAGCGAAATTTTGATAGCAATCAACCTCGTCGTCCCACACCAGCCACGGCAGCCAATTCATAGGATTTTTGCTCCGCTAATTTGCCGTACAAATGTAGGTTGTAATGCACCAATCACTAGAATATGCAACGCGTACAGCACCCTATGTAAAAAAAGTAGTGACATAGATATCTTTCACGACACGCCCTCCCACTTTCGTCGTAAAGTGACGAATTCATCACAATCAAATATGTAATTAAATTGAAATTAAATTTGTTAAATGCCTGTAAAATTATTGAATTGTATTTATTATTATTATTATTAATATTAATGTTATAATATTTATTGTTTTAGTTTTATTAATTATATAGATTTAATTATTATTATTTTTTAATATATTTCAATTATAATGTAAAATTGCTTAAGTATTTATACCTTTTTTGTACCTATTTTTCTGTCAGCATTTGGTTTAAAATGAGCTTACCTATAATTGGAATACATATTAGAACAATGTAAAATGTAACCTTTAGAATAAGTATGATATGTAAGTCTGTTGGTTTGCCAAATAAATAAATAAATAAATAAAATAAATAAAACTGATCATAATTCTTTTTCATGCCAAGTAGAAGGTAAAATAGGTGACAAACCACTTGATTAGAGCTATATTTAATAAATAATTAGACAACATCACATACGTTGCTCCGAAACCACAGTACCTAACAAAAGCGTGCGTTATGGAAATCGGAAACAACGATGATACCACAAACACCCAAAACAGTAAATAGAAAAGTTAGTTTTTCTACATTGATCCGGCTGTCTCTCTGAACTCGGGACCTCAGAGATGGCGACACCATGAAAACCGGTGTGCAAGCCACCGGTACAAGTTCATCATATATACTATATTAGCATTTATTGTTAAAGTCATATTCATTATATAATTTTTTTTTAAATTGAATAATTAAAAAAAAGTAAAGTAATGCATGTCAAAATAATTAATAAATATAGAAGGTAGCAGGCAGGCTTCAAAATGTAAATGTCAAAAACTCATGAGTACCTACATACTAAAAACAATTTGTCACAAGCGATTCAAATAGTACTTCCTTAAGGCAGCACTTCACATGCCTACTTGTATTCGCTATTAATTGGATGTTTGATGTACTTGGAAAAATATTCGATATGCAGACAAACATGCAAACACTGGCAAATATTTACACATGGAGCCAAATAAGGAACTAAAATAATGAACATGACCATAGCGTGGCCGGTTTACTTGCGTATTTCGACTCATCCGATAGAACAAAGATCTATGTGCAAGACTACTTGTTCTCAGGACATAATACATTTCGTTCGCCTTCTTCGCTGTGGATGTCAGATCGACCGTTGTTCGATTTTATATTTCCGACACGAAATAAGATATATAAATTCTCAAAACGCCTTTACATAGACCTTAGTTTGAATAACGAAATTATTCTCGTAACGTACTTATTGTCTTTTCGCTATTTAATCACATCGGACTTTGTTCTTTGGATGAGTCGATTTGTCTCTTTGGCTCCTTTGATCTGAGTCGAAAAATCTACCAGCGCGGTGTAACGCAAGTTTGGTGTTTTTGTCGCTGTATTTGTCGAATTGACAAACAAGGCAAATACTTTGTCACGCATCCTATCTACATAAATGGTGATTGTTTGCCAAATATGTCAAATACGTAAATACAAATAGTGCTACATAAAATCTACATGTAGGTCATTTTTTTACAATTCATTATATAATTTTATGCACGTGTAATATTATGTTCATTATACTATATTATAAAATTATAAGTACAAATACTTTTTTCTAAATGCTCTACCTTTGTATTAATAATTATAACAACAAACTAGTGGAGTAATTTCACAAAAAATAATTGAATATCAATTCAATAAAAAAATAAATACAGTGAATAGCGACATCTCTAGCTGGGGCTGGTAGCTGTAAAGGTATATTCTCATAGATTGCGCTACGGTTGAAAACCAAATACAAAAATCCGACAACAAGCACATAAAAAAATTCTTTAGGTACACTGGTTCGTTCCGTAGCTTAGTTGGCATAGTGTCTGCCACAGTTTGCTAGAAGACATCGGTTCGAATCCGGCCGGATCGAAGGAACTTTTTCTAAGTGTTCGATCTTTGTCTTAATAATTATAACAAACTAGTGGAGTAATTTCACAAAAAATAAGTGAACATCAATTCAGTGAAAATTTAAATATAATAGGTACTTACATTTATAGCACAGAAGAGTAATGACACTCCTAGTACAGTCATGTTGGCAAGACCGCAATCACGCTTGTAATGATCATATATAACAGAATCAGTGCAAATAGCACAGATAATGAGAACTGGTTTCGTAACAGAACGGGTCTGATATTACGCGTCGTGACCTAGGTTGCGGTGTACGTATATATTAATAGTAGGGAACTACGGATTTTTATTATAGTAGCAGTAGAGGTCATTGTAAAAGAGTTCAATCTAGAGAAGTACTGCCACCTTTCCTATTCTCAACGCCTCATGACAAGCGCCTAAAATAACTTAACTTATTATTACTAAGCGCCTAAAGTAATTGATTTCATAAATATTAACTATCAGAACTATACGAAATTTACTACGTTTATTAACATGAAACACTGCAATATTAAATTTAATTATATGTAAAATTTGTAATAATTATAACTATAATATAAGCGAAAATAAGTATTACCTGCCTTCAAAAAACCAGACGTTTACACTTTCTATCCAAACTGCGACTGATCGGCGCAAGAGTCGATTCTAAGTCATTGTTCAATCAAGTGGAACACTTTCATTTTAGAATAAGCTACAGATACATTTACTAAAGCCAATCTCAATATTGGAATCGCTCGGTTGATAACGTGCAGTAGGTACTGTTTCTTAAATCCAAGTTTTGGAGTCATCCGAGTTTTACCTAAGGAAGTTGACAATTGCACTGTTGACCTACGTTATTCTAATATAATAATTGACATAATTTTCCCGCAACATCTGTTCGCTATCTGCAATGAAAAGTTTACCTTAAGATTTTAGATATAAGGTGAACAATAGAGTTAAGGTCACACAGTGACATTCTGTAGTTGACTTATCGAATGTTTTATTGGAAACATGGATGTTCTAATTTTAATAACGACATTGTATTTGTATTTACCACAGATTGATTTAAACAATGTTTTAGTGTTCTTCAAACACTTTAAAAATACCTCATTATTAACTGGAACTGGTTTCTCATACAAAATGAGTACATTTTATTAAATTTGACAAACTTCGGCTGGCCTGATTGCTTCAATAAAATCCTTATATGAAAGATCCTTATATGAAACTGAGTCGATCAGCACCAAAAAAAATATTAATTTTTATGAACAACATTCAGTAGCTGTGGAGTTTCTTGTGAAAGAGTTCGTCCAGGGAAGTACTGCCACTATTGTGAGCATTAGGTACTGCCACAGAACAGTAAATAGAGTAGAAGTAGTTAGTTAGCATCCGACGCGTGCCAACTATAGTTCTCGAAAGACCTATCTGAGCTCAGTCCGCCATTTTCTCTTTTTCGGTATGGTATGGTTGTGTCATTCTTTCGCGCAAATTCTGTAAATTCCTGAAAAATTACCAAGTTGTTACCATGTTGGAGTACAAGAATGATAGCCGCACCAAGAATATTACCCGTGGTGGTATTTCATATCATCAAAAATTCTTGTCTTCATAATTTTTCAACTTTCTGTTTATCGAAATATATTCTTGTTACAAGAAACGAAAGTAAAGTACTTATACCTCTGCAATATGGTATACTTATACCTCTTTTGGAATCGATTCAAATCGTACTTGTAACACTTTGGAACATCCCTAAAACTGCCAAAGTAGATCTGTCATCGAGAAAATAAATGGTTGGAAATACTATAGTAACATGACACCTTATAACTATGTTAGTATTAGGGTTAGTACACAATCACAAAAATAATAGAATAAGAATAAGAATAACGCACACACTCAACATAGCCCCGCACTAGGGAAACCCTGTGTCGCGGGTGCCATGGACACACATATAGACAACCACAAATTACACCCAAACTCACGAGAGAAATAATTGTAGGCCATACAAATATTTCTCCCGGCCCGGGAATCGAACCTGGGACCTCTGCGTGGCAGTCCGACATGGTAACCGTTCGGCCACGGAGGCAGTTATATAACTATATATAACTATAGTAATAGTAATAGTAATAGTAATAATATAGTAATACCTAACAGATGGTTCACTGATTCACACGTAGAACATGCAACTCAGTGAACCTCCGGAACACAGCTGCATCTATCCTGTCTGCTATCATCTTCAGGATCTCGCTACCCCTTGCTACCCTTCGTACTAACGAAGTGGACATTTTCCGCATGATGGCATAGAAATCATCCATGCCAGCACCCGCAAACATGCCAGATGCGCTACAGAAACGGGGAAACATCAACAAGGCCCTGAAGGTATAATATACTGGACTCGCAAGGCGCCGTATGTTCTCAGCGTAAAGTTGGACCATAGAGCACATGTGTAGAAGCTCTGGCAGTATGCTCTAAAGAGTGTGAGCTTCACTCCAGTCGTACACCGTGTGAATCTATGAGCCAACATATTGCCTCGAACCGACAACGCCCTGCGCTCCCTCTCTATGTCTCCCTCATCCTTTAGGTCCTCTGTCACAATATGACCCAAGTACCTAAACTGTGCAACACGCCTCAAAGGTACCCCATTTACTAAGAAGCTAAAGATATTTGCTACAAAAAAAAACCAAATCCATATTTTTCTCAATAAAAAACTTTATTACGTATCATAAAGACCAAGTAAAATTCATAATCCAGCATAAATTTTGGTGTTACTATTAAAATTGTTAATTGTTTTGATTTCATCGGAAGTGAGTTTGAAGTCAAATACATCGATGTTTTCCCGCTGGTGGTTTTGGTCTGTAGATTTTGGGATTGGTATTGTGCCCCGGTCAATCTGTAACATGAATAATACTTAATATATATAAGAATTCACTTGGGAGTAAACTAAAAAAGTTTAACATATCTCATACCTTTAAAACCGAGAAATCAGGGAGTTCCTGAAGAGTATTCGTTACAATACCGACTGTTATACAACTCAGGTAATCCCCGTTCCCGCTGAAGTAAATAATAGTGATTGTGTTAAACAATGCCAGAATACAATAAAAGACTAAAAAATTAAAGAGAACATAATAGAAAAAGTATGAAACCAAAATGGCTTGCAACGTTAACCCTTTGGATATATAAGCTTACGTTCTGGCGGAAGCAACAGCTATACTCCGTCTAATCAGTTATTTAACTTTTGACGGTTCGAATGCTAATCAATTAGTGATGTCCTAATCCTCTTTACTATTTTTTTGTAACAATCGATTTTGTACATGAAGAAGTTTACATAAATCGTGAATGTTAGCGGGTTGAAAAAAGAAGATATATTGTCTAATTAATAATAACGCCCACACTTAACATAGCCCCGCACTAGGGAACCCTGTGCCGCGGGTGCCATGGACACACATATAGACAACCACAAATTACACCCAAACTCATGAGAGAAATAAATGTAGGCCATACAAATATTTCTCCCGGGCCGGAAATCGAACATGGGACCTCTGCGTGGCAGTCAGGCATGGTAAACATTCGGCCACAGAGGCAGTTAAATTGGGATCGTAATGTTGCGTTTGACAATTTGTGTACTCAAGAATTAATAATTAATGTTAATGAGGATTCAAGTGATTATTCCCGTTCAAATGGTAAAGAGTCCGACCATTCATTATAATAAACAATAAAAATTTATTACAATTCTTTATAATTTATTTCACTTCATTATAAGTGATTTTTTTTTGGTACCTGTCAATTTATTTGACATTATATTATACCAAAATTTATCAACTTGAATTATCTTCGTTACATAATCTTTTTTTTTAAATTTATTAAGGCTTTGGCAAAGCCATCAGCCTAAACATGAAGTTTAATTATGTTTCTGTAAATATGACCGCCACAAAGAGGATAGGCAATTTGAGGCAGCGCGCTTGGATTGGCTCGGGATTCCTTAAAACGGGCCGATACAGTATTTTAGTTCGAGATTCGTATAATTTCGCGTTTTAATCTTCTATTAAGCCATAATAGCACTATCCTATTCCACTTTAAACTAAATTTCACAAAATAATTGAAAGTCAAAATAAAAACGACACTTCTCCCTCCAAAAGGTCCAGAGCGAATCCGTTACACAATCTGTTGATTCGATAAATATCGGAGCTAAAGAGCACATCGCTTAATTATTTGTTTTTAATTCATTAAGGCTTTGGCAAAGCCATCAGCCTAAGCATGAAGTTTAATTATGTTTCTGTAAATATGGCCGCCACAAAGAGGATAGGCAATTTGAGGCGGCCTGTTTGGATTGACTCGGGATTCCTTAAAACGGGCCGATACGGGTAATTTAAGTTCGAGGTTCGCATAATTCCGCGTTTCAATCTTCGATTAAGGCATAATAGCACTATACTATTCCACTTTAAACTAGATTTCACAAAATAATTGAAAGTCAAAATAAAAACGACACTTTTCCCTCCAAAAGGTCCAGAGCGAATCTCACATCGCTTCACTAAAATTAAAAAATAAAAGAGTCCAGCAAATACTGTATTATTGTCTATGGTTGTATGTCAAAATTATGGAGCTTCGGCGGCATACATATATCAAAAGTTATATAAATGGTTGGACGGAGTATAATCCGGAGAATTCACAGAGGCAGACATGTTACATAAATAGTTAAACTTGCGGTCTGCTGAGGTTTGACGAATTATATTAATTAATAATTTTAATAGTGTAACTCTCTACAATTGTAGTTTTAAGCTAGATAATAAATGACTTAAAAATTAAACAAATATATTATTAATATATATATATATATATATATATATTTAAGATAGACATGAAGATATTTTTTATTTAAATGGACAAGAGGGTAAGCCGGGGAGGTTTTAGTGTATATTTCCTCCTGGAAGAGTACTCCCACATAAACCTTAAGCCTCCCCGGGCTCCAAGATATGTATGTATAAAGCATTTCCCCCCAGTAAACAAAAAAAAAATTAAAGGTGAGATTGGCCAGTCTTTTCAACTGACACATTATGCTTTTTTTTATGAGGTCATAGGACGAACAAGTCGCCCACCTCATGGTAAGTGACACGCCTTTCCACAACAGTTGCAGTACCACTCAGTGCTTTATATCACAAAGATCTGAGGGGCACTGCCACTGCGCCCGTCACCCTGAGACATAAGTTGACAAGTCCCATGGGCCTGTAATTTCACCAATACCCTTCCCTTCATAACCGCAATGCAATAATGCTCACATTATTGCTTAGCGGCAGAATTAGGTAAGGTGGCAGTACTTCCCTGGACGTACTCTTTCTGCTACTAAAATTCAGGATTTCTGATCGAATTAACGGAATATTTTAGGTACTTTCAAAGTATACTACCACGTACTTACCAGATATCTCAATACAACTTGTCCTGGAGTTTTCCCATATTTCTGAGCAATCTTCGTCAGAGCAGGATCATCGGCTCTTGGAGGTGCTGAGTAAGTTCGGTTTCTGGAGACGAGGAAACCGAAAGGACCGTATGCCATCACGACGATTTGACGTTCTTGGTTGTGTGCAACAAGTTGTGTTTGCGTCAGTGACGAGTGAACCTAAAAAGAAAAGAAAAGCATGCATCTTTTACCTTTAACATATTTTTTTATAATATCAAGTGACGGGATGAACATGTCATGCGCCTGATGGTAAGCTACACGCCTGTCCATAACAGTTGCAGTGCCACTCAGAACTTTAAATCGTAAACATCTGAGGGGCACTGCCGCTGCGCCCGTCACCCTGAGACAAAAGTTGATAAGTCCAAGGTGCCTGTAATTTCACCAGCACCCTTACCTTTCAAAACCAGAACACAGTAATGCTGACATTACTGCTTAATGGCAGAAGTAGGTAAGGAGGCGGCAGAAATAGGTTATCGGCTTAGCAACTGATCTAAGTCCACTTTCAACTTAATGCACCTCAATTTGATTAACAGCAGGTGGAAAATGGCTGTAAGCTAGAAGTCTATCAATCTGTTCGGTGTTGAAATTTGAGACTCCGATGGACTTTGCCAGGCCGAGACTTTTAGCCTCCTCCATACCCTGCCAGGTTTCCAAGTAGTCGATGTGGGAGGGATCACCGTCAGCCTGAAAAACAGTACATTTTAAAAGTTTTAGAAAACGTTCATAATCCTGATAAAATAACTAATAGTTCTTTGCGGTAATCCATGTTAATATAAATGGAGATAAACTAATTTGCTATTCCAATATTAAAATCTTGTAAAATAGCTGCGCTATTATATTTCCAATTTATGACTTAAATTTTATGTTTTAAAAAGAATCATTTTTCCACTATCTCTCTCCGCATAAAATTAATAGAAATAATATAGGTATAACACAAACGCAACTACAGTTACAATTACCACCACCAATAATATACCCAGTATTTCGCCTCTCTCCAATCATCCTCATGGGTTGTTGATTGTTCGACACTCGGTCGAACGTCCATGAAAAAAATTCAATACAAGCGCAGCTATTTTGCACGGATTAACCTTCGCTGGGTTCACGGAATAGCAAATTAATTTACTTCCATTTTTATCCAGGTAAAATTCTAGTAAGATCCATCGATGATTACTTTTTCACTGGTTGTTAATATTAATTTCTTTCCGATTTACAAAAAGGTCATAATCAAAAGACCTTTTTATCTGTTCTTAATTTACGCACAGTTGTATGAAACTTATAAAATACTTTCAAGAACAAGGTACCGTTGTAGACACAGGAGAATGTATAAGATAGAGATCGACATAGTCCAGCCCAAGACGACTCAAAGATTCCCGAAGTGCGGGCACCACCAATTGCTCTGCATGCTTATCGTGCCCCAACTGCAAGAGAAACCAAACAACTACAACTGAATAGGCGAATTCATGTATAATGTGACTAAATCCCGCTTTTAGGTTTCATGTCCCGCTGTCCCCAAAATACTTTAAAATGTCCAGCTTTGAAAAACAGCACACACGTGGCAATAAATAAATAGATAAATACGTCGGGGATAGTGCAATTACGCATAAATAGCATTTGATTGTGAGTTTCCATTTTGTTAATTTTGTGGCCAAATGTCGTGGCAACCAAATTAACTTGCCTAAAGTGATTTAAGGGAATCTATTGTTATCAGTCGGTAGACAACATGAATTAATGCTTACTGTGCAAAAAATAAAGTCGTAGTCATTTTAAATAAAAAAATTATAAAGTTTAGTCCCTCTCCTTTAAAATTTGATTTAGTTCAGATACATGCTTTTTACCAATACTACATACGCGGATTTGCACTATCCCCGACGAATACATCTTTTTTAATGGCGCGAAAGCGAAACATATTAAGGCCAGCCCACCAGCCTACACAGCGCATAGTATTACTTCTCCTTTAAAAATGTTGATCATAATTTTTTTTTTTTAATCATTAAATATTTCGAAACTATCATAAACATGTTTTATTTTTAAAACAATAATAAATTTACAGGCGTCCCGCTCTAACTAGGAACTAAATTGTACAGGTCTAATTTTCACCAAGCCTGCTAAGTGACCTGCGGAGAGCCTCGTTCAACTTGGTTCCGAGCTGTTTTATCGTTCCATAATATCATCTGTTGCGTGGTAATAATAATAAAATTGGTAAAAAAAGTGGTAATAAAGCAATAACAAGAAGGATTTGACATTTGGGTTATTTCAGCGACTAAAACTGAATTTGATACAATTTCTTGCTGAACTCGTTCATTCTGATACAGATTGGTTGCTTTCTATTCATACATACATACATCCGTTCCGGTTTTGAAGGATATGGGTACTGTTGAAACTATAGGCACTATGAAACTCAGGGTGAATGACAGACGGAGCAGCTCAGATCTTTGTGAGTTTCTGATCTGTGAGTGGCACTGCAACTATCATAGGGTATACGTGTTGCTTACCACCGCTGTACGTTGCACGATCATTCATCATCCCGTTCATCCCGTTACTTGATATTATAAAAAAAATACAATATCTAAAAAAAATAAAAAACAGGCTACACGTGAAGCATGCCGTAATGTCAAAATTGAAATAAGCTAATCATGATAGAGAGAGAGATAGAGATATATTTATTTGTAAGCATACACGGTAAATACAGTTTACATATTTAAGATTACACTTATGGTTCAGCGAGTTGCGCCAGTAACTGGTCTACATATATATTAGTAGCAAATATCTTAGGCAAATATTGTTCGCATTTATTACGTATAGTCAGTATATTACTTATATAATTAAAATCATATCGTATTACATTATAAAATTAAATTTTGTTAATTAAATAACATAATCAAAGAAAAATTATGATTTAATAAAAAAGAGGTACGCGTGTCAAAGCAATAAATGTAGAGAGTCGCCGGCAACGATATTCACTGGTCGCAGGCTTCAAAATTTAAATGTGAAAAACTCATTTACATTATAAAACCAATTTGTCACAAGCAATACAAATAGCATTTTCTTAAATCTAGACGTAGGTAACATTTTTATATTGTCAGGTAATACATTATATAATTTTACGCACATGTTATAGCAATTCCTTTAAAAACATGTAGTGTGTATATGTCCGGCTAAACGATAGGGTTATCGGGTTAAAAAAGGAACATTTTTTGAAGTAAATAAATACCTATGTTTTTTGACATATATCGAATATATATATATATATATATATATATATATATATATATATAAATAAGGAAGGGACAATATTTTTAGTTTTTTAAATAAGGTTTTACAGCTATCTCGCGTACCAGCACCACACTACGCCTTTACGCACTTTTATGTTAATATCTTATCATCATCGCCGTTATTTATAAATATCTATATGCAATGCTTAATTGAACGCTCTTTGAAATGACGCCAGCTCTTTCTTCAGCCAGACTTATAGCATATCTTTGAACTATTTGGTATGTGTCCAGTCCTTACCTTAGTAGTAACAAATAGGTCCTCTCTCTTCACAAGGCCCTTGTTAACTACATCAGCTATGCCCTGCCCAATCTCAACTTCATTGCGGTACATAGATGCTGTGTCAATGTGACGGTACCCTGCTTCTACAGCCCAGTTGATCGCTTGTCGCATTCTTGCTCTGTCCCTGTCCTGGAAAACGACACAAAAAAACTAACTTCATCCTTGTTACTTGTTGCTGTATATAACTTGTTGCTTAGTCAACGGAGAAGTATGTTTTGAATATTTTCAGACTTCATGTTGTGTTATAATACAAAATGACAATAGACGAGTAAACTTATTACAATCAAAGACTTCAATCAACTGTAGACAAGAACATTCACAGAAACTATAATGTTCAATACAAAACATTTCGCGATTAACAGTGATTATAATACCTACACAAATTAATAAAAAAACACACAACATTGCTTACCAAATCAATGGGTAATCCCGTTTTAAACTTATGTTCTTACGATTAGCCAAATAGCGAAATGTGATCAACACACCTATGTACATTAATTTTCAAATTGGACTGCATCTGCGTCCGACAGCTTGTTTGATACAACTATGAAGTGTTGTGCTGGAATCGCCCTTCAGTGAGACACAGCATGTGTATGAAATGCCGCATCTAGTACGCTCGTACCTCAAACAATAGGTTTGTAATCTGAGGCTAGTACATAGATATGGTTGATTACAATATTTATTTCAAATTATAAATTCCATTATCATATTGCTTTGTTACCAGCCGTTTAAACTCAAAAACATAGGCATATAGAGGAATTCGTAAGGTCAGTTGGGAGAGCGGTGGTCTTGATCTGGCAAACAATTGCAGGTTCGAATCCATCCGGATCGAAAGAATTTTTCTTTGTGTGTGTTCGATCTTTGTATCAATATTAACAGGTAAAGTTTTTTCTTCATTTGCTTTGTCTAATAACTCACCGATCCATAAGTTCCTAATGCTAAACTAGGAATTTGGTTTCCATCATTCAATGTTATCTTCGGAACCTCGACACTGCTCATTGTGACCTGAAACAATATACAATAATTGTTATCTAATCTAAAAGATCTAAAGTCAGCCGTGGCCTGTAAGAGTCTGAAATGTTGGTTTCATCAACATCAATACATTTATACGTCTCACTGCTGGGCATGTGTCTCCTCTTAGGTGAGGATTTTGCCTCGATGCGAGTTGGGGACGTCACACGTTTTCCGAAGGTTGTGAACCTTCTGACACTAAACGGAACGCAAGCGCGCCACCTAGCGGTGTAGTCCGCACGTTTCCCGCGCTTCGACAGAGTCGTCACATTGTTGGCAAGCACGATCGGACACACTCTTCTATCGGGTCGTGACGCAGTGTAGTCGTCGTCACTGACTGTCCTCCGTTTCGCTTAGTGCCCATTTTGATCGTTCAAATTAATAGAAAGTACTAGTTCTTGTTCGATTTCAAAGCGATTAAAATATACAGTGTTACTTTAAACGTAATCGCTTTGCACGATCCCTAAATCTGTCCAACTGGTGTCTAAAAATTCAGTTCTAAGCCATGAAGGTTCCGACAAATATATAAATATATATATACATACATATATATATGATTTTAAATTCGGGGAAAAAATGTATGTTTTGCTTGTAATACGACATGGTTTAGTTGAAAGGTTGTCCATTTGATGACTCAACACCAAACCAGCTCCCCTCGCCTCAAAATAGAATATGGAGAACAGACTTAAAATTGTGTAACATAAAATGTATTTTAAAGGTGTTAAAGGACAGAAGAGCGCCGCAACCGGCCACTGTGTCCTGTTAGCGCAACTGGCGTCTGTGTCGATTTCATATCAATTGTATCTAAATAGAATATTCGTTTCCAGGTGCAGGTTGCTTGTATCCAACACGAGACACATTTGCGCGGCGCCCAAAGCTGTGAGTAGCATCAAAGAACAAATAAGTAATGAGAACGGACATTCTCCGCTCCTCCCTAGCTTTAGATACTGCACCATGGCCCGCACATTGACGGTCACATTGACTGAACGAGCACAAAGCTGTCGGCGAGCCGTTTTCGTGCTAAGACGGCTTTGATATTTGAATATAGTTTTCATTTATTCATTACGAAATTTGTACGTTAATATATAACATCATTTTATGTTACTTTTTATAATGGTCGTGAATTGTGCTGTATACGGCTGTTTATAATCATCTAATCGGGACAAAGAGAAGAGTTTCTTTGGTTTTTTGAAAGATGAAACGTAGTAAGTGAATAAACTTATGTCTGAGACTCATTCAGTTATTTTTTTCTTTAGTGCAGAGTAATATATAATACAGATTTATTGTATCAATTTAATAAGACGCCATAACTTCGTGAGCTATACAAGGGTTCTCAAATTTTCAATTTTTTTTGCCGATAAATATTACGTAGTGAATATACCTAATTATTAACTAGGTAATGATAAAATTGGACACGCAGTTTCAAATACTTTGGTTACCTTTTTTAAAGGTATCTACCTGTCCAAAGTGCTTTTAATATATTTTTTAAATAAATCTTCAATATTAGTATCTAGTTAGTGAATTAATGAAAAATATAGTATTATATCGATATAAATACGTAATGAACATGTGTAATTATTAGGATTCTATAATAGAATTGTAGATAACAGATTCGCGTCAGAATTTTCGCTATGTTTCCGCTCTGACCACGTAACGTAATAGTACGAACAAGTGATGGGTAACCCTGCCACATCACGCACACATTTGCGCGTGTGCAAATAGCGCCTTGCTGTATGTAGTAGTATTCGACCGTAGTATGGAGTGTCCGGGGTGTGGTAGCACTGCAACTGTTATGGTTAGGCGTGTTGCTTACCACCAGGCGCACGGCTTGTTCATCCCGTCATTCACTTGGTATCATTAAAAAAACTCTGATAATCACTTATCTATGTAGTAATTAATTGACTAAAAAGGCATTCTTACGAAGGTAAGAATGGAATCTTACGTATTCAAGAAACACTATACCAAAAAATATTATTTATCTGTATAATTGTTTCAAAAAATTGGTACAGTCTAAAGGACATATGCTTTGCACTTTGGACGTTGTTACTTGTAATCAAGCGGCATCGAGATGAATTCCAATCATAAAAATCAAACTTGACGTGCTCTTGAACCTATACCAGTTTAATTTGATTTTGATGTTATTTGCTTAAATTTAAAATACGCGTAATTATTATTTAAGTTACATGTTACTAACTCCGATATAAATTATTATTACTAAATCACAATAACGCTTCTATACTTTATATGGCGAACCGCTATGGGGTGGAAATCCCTGCCTGCAGACTTATTCTCTGAACGCTATAACTTGACCTTTTCCAATGCAAGAGTGAATTAGCATTATTTAGGTGTCCATCGTCCACCTCATCGTCACTTTCCATCAGGTGAGATGGCGGTCAAATGCGCACATATCCAAAAACAAAATTTTAAAATGAACGATGTTTTTCGGATGTAAATCGCGTAAACTTATATATTTATTGAGCCTAAACATTGGTTTGTTTGGAAAAAAATAAATATATTTAGATCCGAAAAAATTGTTTCCTTTCCTAAATAAAATATATGTATTTTTATCAATTAGGCACTTCGGAAAAGAAAAATTTTTTTTCGCATCTAAATCACGTCAATCATTCGGTCAGCCATGACAGACAAGCCTAAAAACAAAATACGCGATTTTGATCCCAAAATATTAATTTACAATAAAAGGTATTTTTTTAATCTATTAACGTGATCAGGAACAGAGAATTTAACAGAAATGAAGATAATGTTTAAAAAAATAATACTTGCATTTATTTAAAACATAAAGAATTAAAACTTACACGAACAACAGCCAAAATAATTACCATGACCTTTGTAGACGCCATCTTGCACGTTTGTGCCGGAGGTCGATCTTCCGGCAAATGCAAATTGATTACTACGTCTCGCGGTTATGAAACTCAGACATCGGTTTTGTTGAGTTTTTACACGTATTTAGTTTCAATAACGATATTCATAGATGTTCAATATTGCCATGATTTGTTTAAAAACGTGTATATTATTAACTTTTATATTTTAATAATATATTAAATATCATTGAAACACAATAACTCTTGTGTTTTATACCGAATCATAATAAAAAGTTCTTTAGTTGATAATGACCTTCAATATCGGATTCTATAATAATCTCAGTACAGAGTACTAAAAAAAGCCGACCTCAAAAGTACGTGAAATTACATCTATTTACCAAGTTTTATTGAAATATCCCCTAGTTCTCCACTATACAGGACTTGACATAAAAATAATAAAAATCGGTTCTCACTACTCAAAGTATATTGAGAGAAAAAAACGCCTTGAATTGGAGAATAGCAAAACCAACCATTAAAATAATTGCTCCTTAAGTAAAATTTAGGCGCTATTTATAAAAATAAACATTAATGCGTGATCAGCCATGCAATAGAGATGGATGATTTTCTTCAAAATGAAATGGGACCACTATGGAGGTACCCTCTTTCCAACAAAAAAGAATCATGAAAATCGGTTCAGAAATACCGAAGTTATCGCGTAACATACTTACAAAAAAAACATACAGTCGAATTGAGAACCTCCTCCTTTTTTTGAAGTCGGTTACAAATGGTCGATTGCGTAATATTTTATTGTTAAGTTTCATCACTGAACATTTACTGTTGTGTTAATTTGCAATTGTAATTTTCGTATGTTTTTGATCTTGAATTGTTACTTTAAAATTATATAAAAGATTGTAGCTGAAACTGAGAAATAGGAAAGATATTGTCGCGCGCATAGTGGACCCATATTTATCGGAAACTAAGAATAATAACCTGTTAAGACTTGTGTGGAATATAGAAGCCACAGGCCACAAGAAACAAAGCATGGTGATTGGTGACAGGATAATAAGTATGTCAACAATACTATAAACAAAATTACCCATGGACTCTAGAGTTGATTTTGAAATAAAATAAGTCATGAACTCAGAAGTTTCATTTTTATTATGACCTTATTCAAGTGGCGTGAAGTTCATAATGATTTAGATAGGTAAGTATTTTAACGATCATGTCAACACGGTGCTGCGAAATAAAAATTAATTAGATAAAGCTATAAATTCAAATTTAGTAGTCGCCATACCGATAATGTAAGCATATTACAGGTCTTTTAAAAATATTAATTGTTTAAAAATGTATTACAGTCCATAATTTTGTATTGTATAACTCTTGTGTTTTGTACCGAATTATAATAAAAAGTTCATTAGGTGATAATGTCCTTCAATAATGGATTCCATAAAAATATTCGATTTTCGAATTTCGAACATTTACAGTCATGTTAATTCGCAATTGTAATTCGGTCATCCTCACAATTTAGTGTTCTCAGCCCATGTACCGTATCCATTTTTTTTTTCTCGCTTAAGTATAGACTTACCCATTAACATCACTCCAATACAGGACCTAGTAGCTCCTATCCTTGCTCATATCCTTAATTTTTCCCTTTCCAGTGGTGTGTTTCCCACTGTATGGAAACAAGCCCATGTAATACCTCTCCCTAAAAAATCAAATCCTTCTTCTTTCTCCCATTACCGCCCTATCTCCATACTTCCTGTATTGTCCAAAATCCTTGAGCACTATGTCCATAATCGACTCACTAACAACCTCCTACGTTACGATATTTTCAACCATCTGCAGTCTGGTTTTCGAGCGGGCCATAGCCCAGTTTCTGCTTGGTGAAAATCACTGACGACATTCGTCTTAATATAGAAAATAAAAAAGTTACTGTCCTCAATTTATTGCCTCCGTGGCCGAACGGTTACCATGCCGGACTGCCACGCAGAGGTCCTAGGTTCGATTCCCGGGCCGGGAGAAATATTTGTATGGCCTACATTTATTTCTCTCGTGAGTTTGGGTGTAATTTGTGTTTGTCTATGTATGTGTCCATGGCACCCGCGACACAGGGTTTGCCTAGTGCGGGGCTATGTTGAGTGTGTGCGTTATTATTATTATTATCGTATTTATTTT